CTGCACAATTAAGAAAGAAACATCAAGATGCTGTTAATGGTAAATATTTGTTGTTGTTGTTGTTTTTTGAGATACCATCTAAATGAACTGTTCAAATATGGAAGTAAACAGTTAGATTTCTCCAAACGATAACAGACACTAGTCAGCAACTATCACAGACTGTAAAAGACGTGATTAATATACGATCAAAGACTGTATAACAATAATGTCTTGTTCTATAATATAAGTTACTTCCTTGTTGCAATGCTAAAGGATGATGAAGGAATGTATCTCAAAAGAGATAGAATAAAGCAATCTCCCTGTGATTAGCAACCGCAAATATATTATGTTTCACATTTTAATGCCACAGAGATTGTGTTAGGAGCTTTTTTTTTCATTCTAGTTAAGTATTAATGTTTATTGTCTTTTTCATTTTAGAAATGGGTGAACAAATTGATCAATTACAAAAATTAAAAAATAAATTAGAAAAAGAAAAACAAAACATTAAATCTGAACTTGATGATTTACGTGCACAACTTGATCATGCACAAAAAGGTAAAGCAGCTGCTGAAAAACTTTCAAAACAACTTGAACAACAATTAAGTGAAATACAAATTAAACTTGATGATAGCTTCAAACAAATTAATGATTTATCTGGTCAAAGAACAAAATTAATTTCAGAAAATTCAGATTTAGTTAAGCAAATTGAAGATCTTGAACATCAAGTTAGTTCATTACAAAAAGTGAAAATTACATTACAACAACAAGCTGATGAAGCTAAACGTGCGTTAGAAGAAGAATTACGTGGTAAAAGTGCAATCAGTAAGTGTTCAAAAATTCATTTTTATTTTAAGGTTTTCATTACCCATTATATTCATTTCATTGTAGCTGCTCAATTACGTAATTTATCTGCTGATCTTGATCAAGCACGTGAACAACTTGAAGAAGAACAAGAAGGAAAAGCCGATCTTCAACGACAAGTTGCTAAACTCGGTTCAGAAGTTCAACAATGGAGATCACGTTATGAATCTGAAGGTACGTTTTATTTGTTTTTCATAAAAATCTCTCATAGATAAATGTTAAAGTTGGAAAGTTAAACTGAAATCATAACACAGAGAATATCGAATATTTTGTTTGATGAGAAGAAAGAGAGAAATCATTAATGTATATTAGACTAGAAAAGAACAGATCATTTTAATTGACATTTTTAGCGTTCACAATTGAGTTCTTCTTTTCGAACAACTCGAACTCTTCATAAATGCATTTTGCCATGCACACTGATTGACTTAAAACTTTAACTGCAAAAAAAAAATGTCTTTAAGATTATTCTATAATTGAGTAGTATCAAGACGCAAATACAAAAATTTTGAAATACATTATATATATATATCTTTTTTCCTTAATCATATTTACCTTGGTAATATGATATTGAAAACAAACATTAAAACATGATTGAAATTATCATCTATTTCAAAGCTAATTTTTAGTTGATTCAATTCTGAAATAGTTTTTAAGATATGTAGAGAAAAACTTTATCTTATAACATTCTATAACAATTTTTCCTGCTCATTACGACACTTAGTAATTCAAAAATCAAAAGAAATATTGTTTCATTGTTTCAGGCTTGGCTCGTGCTGAAGAACTTGAAGAAGCTAAACGTAAATTAGCAGCCAAATTAACAGAAGCTGAAGAACAAGTTGAAGCAGCATTATCCAAATGCAATGCTTTAGAAAAAGTTAAAGCTCGTTTACAAGGTGAAGTAGAAGATCTTATGGTTGATGTTGAACGTGCTAATGCTAGTAAGTTAATTTTATATTTTGAAAGAAAAGAAAACTAAAATATTCCTTTCTATTAAGATGCTTCTGCCATGGACAAGAAACAGAAACAATTTGATAAGTTAATTAATGAATGGAAACAAAAATGTGAAGATATAACAATTGAACTTGAAGCATCACAAAAAGAAGCACGTCATTATTCAACAGAATTATTTAAACTTAAAACACAATATGAAGAATCACATGAACAAATTGAAGCACTTCGTAAAGAAAACAAAAATTTGGCCGAAGAAATTAAAGTAAAAAAAAATTATTTTATACTCATTCAGTATAAATTAAAATTCTTCTTTTGTTTTTAAGGATCTTATGGATCAATTGGGTGAAGGTGGAAAGAGTCTTCATGAATTGGATAAAGCTCGTAAACGTGCTGAAATGGAAAAAGAAGAATTACAAGGTGCATTAGAAGAAGCTGAAGCTGCACTTGAACAAGAAGAAGCTAAAGTTCTTCGTGCTCAAATGGAATTAAGTACAGTACGTCAAGAAATCGATCGTCGTATACATGAAAAGGAAGAAGAATTTGAAAATACACGTCGTAATCATGCTCGTGCAATGGAATCAATGCAAGCAAGTTTAGAAGCTGAAACAAGAGCTAAAGCTGAAGCACTTAAACAGGTGCGAGAAAAAAAAAAGAAAAATATTAACTTTTTTGTTAATCGAATTTTTATTTTCTAATTTTTCTAGAAAAAGAAACTTGAATCGGATATCAATGAACTTGAAATTGCTCTTGATCATGCCAATCGTAGCAATGCAGATTTACAAAAAGCACTTAAGAAATTACAACAAACAGTCACCGAATTACAACAACAAGTTGAAGATGAACAACGACAACGTGATGAAGCTCGTGAAGCTGCTGCCGCTGCTGAACGTCGTGTTAATCTTATACTAGGTGAACTCGAAGAATTACGTACAGCATTAGAACAAGCTGAACGTGCACGTCGTGCAGCTGAAAATGAATTGAATGATGCAGCTGATCGTATTAGTGAATTAAGCACACTAAATGCTAATTTATCATCACAAAAACGACAATTAGAAGCCAGCGTTGCTGCTATGCAAGCTGATTTAGATGAAGCTGTTGCTGAACTTAAAAATAGTGAAGAACGTGCCAAGAAAGCTGGTTAGTTT